GTATTATGACCAAGATGAGAAGGTCTTTGCTGTATTACCTTGCCGGTGCGGGTTGCCACGCGCGCAGTGAACAATTGCGACTTTGTCTTGAAAAAGAGTTCGGCCTGAAAACTATGTATAGGCGCTGCCAGAGTGTTGAAAAGCTTTAGGCACGATTTGTGAGTCTGGCGGATAGTTGCTCCGTTAGATGGACGGCTGGCGACCCGTCGGGTAAGGTGGCGTCATTGTACGGGCGGTTCCGCCAAAGTTGTTCGCGATGGTCGGCGTGTGCAAGTCGGCGATAGTCGCCAAGCGATCCGGCGTACCCTTGCCCAAGCAGACAATCTTTTCTAGCGGGCGGCTAAAGTGGTGATTAGAGCGTTTTATACTTATTTGTGGGGGTGGCAGGAAGGACTTCGGATCAGGAGTGCAGTGCATAGCGGAGGTGTGCTTTTGTGCCTACACTAAAGTTAACAGCAGACTAGATGTTCGTCTGGTCGGTAAGATCAAGCAGAAAGAGAAGTTTTGGATTTTAGTATTTTTTGGAGGAAAACGTTGCAAACTAAAGGACGGCGTCGATTGCAAATCATTGCGCAAGGCGAGTTTGGAGAGTATAACTGACTTGAATAGGTTGCAAATGTCTATATATATGGAAATTTCAATCAACTTGTCGGGAGCAGACAAAGTTGATCAAATAGCACAGATCAACACTGGTGCGACTGCAGTAGAAAGATCATTAGTCAGGAAACATCTTAAGGGCAAGACACACTTACGCGGACAGCGACCGACCTAACGACAAACGACGCAAAGTCGCGGCGATGTGGCGCAGCCACGACGTGCGAGCGGCACGCACGAGCGAGGCGTACGTCAAAGTTCAGGCGCAGCGCACTCCCACAGTGCACTCATGAGCAACGGCAAAAAAACTCTTGCTGTGCTGTTGAAGGATAAAGATTGCGGTAAAACGCTCTTGTTATACGAGAATAAGTAATGAAAGTAATATGTACGGCAGGCCAGGATATATGTATGTTCGACGTGTAACAATAATCCATTTCCGACGGCCGGCGTCGCCTTGCCGCTTTGTGGTTAGATGGGTTCGCGGCCCCCAGCGTGTTTCGTGAACAGGCGGGTGCGTGCTTGGCGTGGGACAGTTTGACTTCCTGGTAGCATTGGTTTATGATTTTATGAGCGTAATGGCGATTGGTCACGGTGCCGATGAACGCCTGTGGATTGGCATTGTAAGTGGTTGCGCGGCCGGACAGAGTGCGACTGGGAAATTAGGAACGTTTCTAATATTTTTGTGTCTGTCAGGTTTGTCGCCGGTCTCGTCGCGTCAGTGTGCAATGCTTCTAGGAACCATGTTTCTGAATTTTTGAAAAGTCGTTGGTCGCTTACGGTCGGGATCTTGTCGCGTGCCAGTGGTGTTCTTGGCTTTATGGTGAAGCACTGACAAATTACGGTGCGCGGCCTATTAGTAGTTACCATTTTGCTGCATGATTAAGATTGGGCGTATTTCTTGTGAGGCTAGACTGAACGAACGAATTACCTTTGACGTTATATATAGCCGTAGTTACTTTTATCGGTTGAGTTATGGATGAAAGTACAAATGTTTGATGTAACGAATGTTAGATTAAAGTTACATGTTATTCGTTTGGTTTTTAGCAAAGCGACTCAGGTCGTCGACGTGGGATTGGAGGGGCTGGCCAAGAGCGGGTCTGAAGGCGTAGTTCGGCCCAACGTCGGGTGTGTATGTGCCCTACTGTTATTCGCTTGTACAGTCGCATTGCGTGACGTCATACACCAAACCACCTCTACAGACCGTAAGGAAGGAATGCCGCTGCTCAGTCTCTTTGCGGGTTCGGGGAGAACACTTATCGCTTGACTAACAGTGAAGCTTATAGGTCTACGTCTGCAGGAGTACTGCCCGGAACGTACCTGGGTTGACGGTCTGGATATACGTATGCGGTCAACTACCCACATGACCAATTAGCTCATCCAGGCAATTACCTAGCGCTCCCGCCCCACACGCCACCGCGTCATAATTGGATGATTTATCGTGAAGCGACCAGCTTGATGATTTCGATATTTCGTGCTTCAGCATTCGCTGATACTGCCGATATGTGACTTATTCGCTGGCCGGGCGGAGTCTACGGATTTTCGCATACTCGTTATGAGAAATCATGAAGTTGGTCCGTTAGATGAATCATCATTACTGTACGGTGTGTGTGTGGGGGGGGGGAGCTAGGGTAATTGCCTGGGAGTGGGAGTAATTGTCCTGTGGGTAGTTGACCGGATACGGTATACCAGACCGTACCCAGGGTACGTTCCGGCAGTACCCTGGGAGACGTAGACCTTATAAGTCTTACTGTTAGCAAAGGCTGATAATGTTTCTCCCGACCAGAAAGAGACGTGAGGCAGCGGATTCCTTCCTCGGTCTGTAGAGTGGTTTGTGTGTATGACGTCGCATTTGCCGACTGTCAAGCGAATAGACAGTAGCAACATACACACCCGACGGTTGGGCGAATAGCCTCAGCCGTCTCTTGCCAGCCCCTCCAATCCAGTCGACGACTGAGTCGTTTCTAAAAACAAAGAATAAATGTAACTTTAATCTACATTCGTTACACAATACATTTGTTACTTTCCCATAATCACGAATAAAAAGTAACTACGGCTATAATATAACCAACAAGTAATGTTTCTTCACAAAGAAAATACGCCCACATTTATTACACAAAATGGTAATACTAATAGGCCCTACCGTAGATTTGTTCATGTGCTTACCATAAGATGTTTCCTGATAATATTTTTCTACTGCAGTCCACAGTGTTGATCTGTCTATTTGATCAACTTTGTCTCTCTCCAAGTTTGATGAAATTCCATATATATTAGAATTTGCAGACTATTCAAGTAGTTATAATCTCAACCGGCCTTGGCGCAATGATTTTGCAATCGACGCAGTCCTTTTAGTTTGCAAAGTTTTCCTCCAAAACTAAATTTCCAAACTTTCTTTCTGCTTGATTTAGACCAGAGAACATCTAGTCTGCTGTTACTTTAGTGTTTCCAGCCACAAAAGAACTCCGTATGCATGATATTTGATCGAAGTTTCCTTGAATCCTTGAACTGAGCTCCGCAGAGCTGTAGTGTTCTCTCGGTATGATAGTCAGAAGTTCCTGAACACAAATTGTAAAAACGTCTTCACCATTTTGCCGCCGCTAGAAAAAGATTGTCTGCTTGGCAGGGTACCCGGATGCTTGGCGATATCGTCTGACTTGCGACAGCGACATCTGGCGAAAATTGCGGAACCGCCGTACAAGTGACGTCACGTTACCCGACGGGCGCCAGCGCCATCTAACGGAGCAATATCGCAGATAAAATGTGCCTAAAGCTTTTCAACATGGCAGCGCCTTACAGTATTTTCAGGCCGAATCTTTTCAAGAACAAAGTTGCAATTGTCACTGGCGGTGGCACCGGCATCGGAAAGGGTATTACAGAAGAACTTCTTCATCTTGGTAATAAGTTTATTTACACGTCTATTATGTAATATTTGTAATATACAAGAATATGCATAATGCAAGTAGTGAAGTACTGAGTCTGAAGTAGCTCTAGTAGTAGTACTAGTAGTAGTACTATAGCCGCTTACATTAACTGCCGCTGGCGGACACCCCTCCACATGCGGAAATACATAGTTCCCGCTGACTGGCTGGAGTAAGTTGGTCCCGAGCATTCGTAATGGTTGAACTTGATGCTATAGCCCAGCGGCAGTTAATGTAAGCGGCTATAGTACTAGAGCTAACAGTAGTATAGCCCGACCAGGCTGTGCGACGGAGTGTCTATACACTATTATACGGTATTATACGGTATTCTAACCCTAGCAATACCGTTTCTTGGAGCTAGTAGTAGTAGTACTATAGCCGCTTACATTAAAGGGACTACGTCACGAATTTTCTATGGTAAAATTTGTAAAAAAAAAATTGCAATTTTTTT